GCTCTGTGCTCAATTGTAGATTCGGTAGTTGTGAGGCCAAAAGTAGTCATTTGGTCTCTTTTAGTTAGCAGGAAAGTAGAGTGTAACTGAATTTGTCACATGAGGAAGTCTCGTGTGCTGATACCCTTCTGCAGAGAGGATTAATCTGCCAGGAACATAGGTGAAGATTTGGCGCTACTTCAAAAAACATTTGAAGCAGATCATTCTCTACATTTTCCCCTAATCGATTATAAATAAGGAGTGCCATAATAGTACTGTGACAGATGAAGATCTGAGAGGTGTTATCTGAAGGGCAAGCTGAAGGCAGGATGTCTGAACACTGGAAAGCAATTTACGAAAAGAACAAGACATCTTCCTTTACCACGCCATGGAGTAAACCTAACTCTATCAAATTTTATATGGAAAATGACCACTTTTTTTCTTCTGTGGGATATTCTTTATTTTAAAAAATCAGATTGTAGATAGTTCGATCAATTACAAGGGTGTAGGCAGATATCAGAAGATGAGCAATTAGGCTTCTGTGTGTGTGTGTGTGTGTGTGTGTGTGTGTGTGTGAGTATAATGCACATACCTGAAATACAGTCATTCTGAATAAATTGCTGGAGACTTGAATCAAGTTGAATTTAGGACCAAAAATAGCATTATTTTTTAATCTTTGAAGTGAAATAATTTGGCATAATGTCACATTTAATTGCATGGTCTTCAGAGTCAGGAAGAACTGGGTTCAAACTCAATTTTGGTATTAATATTCCTGCATGACACTGGGCAAGGTATGCCTTCTCTCTTAGCCCTCAGTTCTCCATACAAAATGTGATAGTGTGATTGCTGGGAGGACAGATTCTAAAGCGGATGTAAAGCGCGGCATGAGTGCTCAGCCAATGGCTCCTATAAGTATTTTTTAATTTTTTATTACTTGAAACTGTGGACAATATTAAAATATGTATAACCTAATTCATCAGTGCGAGCTGGAATTGAAACTTTAGATCTGGCTTTTCAAAACAAAACTCACCAGATGGATCTTTCATTTGCCTCCAAGGCCCTGAGTCCAGCAGCGCTCACAGGACTCAGCAGCAACCTCTGCCGCTCCGGGCTCCTCTCCTGCCTCCTGGTCGACCCCAAATCTTCTCTTTTCTCCACACCTGCCACTTGTCAACACCTTGATTCCTTTATCTGCAGACAGTTCTGCCTTTCATCATTAGGCGAATTCATGAATGCCAGGCAGGTCCTGTGGAGACGCCCTTTCTGGTTTTCTCACGTGGTGTCTGGTGTCTGTCAAAAATATCTAAAAGGTGTGTATTGCTGATAGTCAGGAGCTGCGGCAGGCAGGTTTCCCCCAAGCCCTCAATGTGCAGAGCACACAGGAGACCCGCTCCTGGAATCCACTTCTCCACTGCTCCCTGCTCCATTCCTTGAATGGAAGACTTCCCAGAGCACAGTATCTAGAGCTTTCTCCACATTGGCCGTGTCTTTTGAGTACAGAAAGCTTGACAGATTTCTAAGACAAAGAACCTCAACACAAGCTATAATCTGCAACCATAAAACTTATTTATCTGAGATATTTTGTGTGATATTATTTCTTTTATTAATGCTTTCCCTTTACAGTAAATGTGTATGTTATAGGAACTAAATTTAATTCTGTGTTTATTATCCAGAAGATAATGATAAATATGAAAGTCTTTAATAATCTGTCGGCTCATTTTTAAATTCACAAACGTATTCATCCTTTTTTTCATGAAGAGGTCAACCTCAATTTTTATTTGGTTCATTTTCACATTTGGGACTCTTCCTTTGTTTTAACCAAGTGAAAACACACTGTTTCCAAAATTCCTATTTATGCCTTTTATGTATAGCAACACAAAGTCATTAGAGTAGAATATATTTATGCTGATTATGCCTTAAAAATGAAATAAAAAAGCAAATTCTATTATTTGGATTACATGGCAGCCTATATTTTGAATGATCATATAATGATTTCAACATTTCTTATGTTCCTGAGAAGAAGCATTCAGAAACTTTTCTCAGCATCTATTTTTTTTTTTTGCTTTCAAAAGTAATTTATTTGGATTTTCCATATCCTTTAATGAATTGCAAGTATATTAACAGAAAAGACTTTACCCCCCCAAGACTGTACAATTTCTGAAATAAGTCAGGAAAAGCAAAAAAAGAAGACACAAAATTACATTGTTTCAATGCATATATAACACACATCACACCCACACTTGCATTTTCCCAGGTTTTCACAAAGAAAACAGGTCACCATATTTCTCTTGAAGGCCCATACTATACTCTGGCTAAACAGAGACTTGCAAACTTTTTTCTTCAAAAAGAGCATTTTTAATAGACTAAATACTGGTTATCACTGAGTTTTTGTTTAAGGTACAACAGCAGCATGGTTCAAATATTACTTGCAGTTCTTGGAAAAAAATAAAAATTTCAAAGTAATGAAATACAGAAAAAGTAGGACCACCTTTCATTATTTTGAGTACCTTTGTTCTCTTGAAAAAATATTTCCAACCTTCTAAAATCCCAGAGTTAAGAACCATTTCCAAGGGGGAAAAATATCCAATGCCACAACATAACTTCTGAACGAGTGTGTGTGTGTGTGTATACACACGTGTGAAAGGCTTAAGGAGAAAAAATGATGTTGAAGTACTTAGTATTTCTGATTTCCTTCAAAATACTTCTGAAATTTGAAGCAAACATTTCGCTTGATTAAAATGCGTCTCTTCTTCTGGTTATTTGATCCCCATACTACACAAAAGAGAAAGAAGAGAAAGCCAGAAACAGTAAGTGGGGAGGACATGCTTCCGACAGCCAAATGACTGTGAAAGTGGAGGTGTGAGGAGAATGCAATCAGATCAGTCCCGGGCTGATCATCGATCCACCGACCATCTCCACGCTGTGCCACCCGCAGCTATCCTTTTATTCTTGGTCTCCAAATAGTACCAGAAAGACTTCTGGCACAGGACATAAGTTCCTACTACACAACATAACTAATTATACATCAGCAAATTGTTTTCTGAGCATAGCTTTCTCCAAGCTCTGTAACAAAGAGCTCAGATCAAAGCTTTCTATGAAACTCTATATTTGACACTGTTATACAGCTGGCTTATGATTTGCCAATTAAAAAAAATAAAAGAATATAAAATTAAATATTACAGAACTAATGGATAATAAAATGGAATATTTGTTAGAATTCAAGTGCTAGCCTTGGGGAATCCTTAATGATATTCATTTACTCCCAATCTTTCCTTTTTCTTTTTTTGTTTAGTCCTTTTTCTTATAAATTATTTTTTTAGGCAGCACATAAACAGATTTAGGTAGGAAATTTTGTTAAATACCTCTCTGGCACCCCAATACCCAACCTAACACTCTGACTTGAATTAGTTTATAATGCAATTTAATCCGTATTCAAATAAGCAGATTAATAGTAAATGATAGAAAATTACTGAGACTACGGGCTAAAATTTCTCCACATCTTCTGTAATCCACCTTATTTTCACAGCTTGACTAACAAAATACAGGTAACCAGTAGATAAGTTCATCCTTCATCAAATAATCCACAACAATAACTGTAGGCCTGTCATTTGTAAGAAACTATAAATTTGTTATATTCTGATATTGGCACTTAATAAAATGTTAACAACTAAAGTTTCTCTAAAAATTTCAAACATTACAATAAAGGAGATACACAATTTAAAACTTTAAATCAGTTACTGTGAAATTCCAATAATTCCCATTTTATTATGCATAATTAGATCTTTAAAACTGTGGTCATTCCCCAAAGACATCAATCTATATTATGATAAACTCAAGAGAGAACTTGTCTCCTTCATAAGAGTAGGTGGTTTTTTGTTTTTATTTTTGCAGCTAAACATTTCTAATATTCTAAACCAAATCACTCCCAGTACATGTTTTGGTGGCTCACACTACTGGAAATAATCTGAAGCAGAGAGCAGAAAAGAATGGAAATGACCTCACCAAAGGTAACCACACTTTCTTGCACTTGCTTAAACACTTAAGGAAAGTCAAAGGGATACCTGTCTTGAGCAAATATAAATTCAAGGTTATGGTAGGATTCTGATTGTATTAAGGCTTCCACTATCATGATCTCTTAAAGTCTTTCCATTTAGTGTTCTCATTTGATTCTTCTGATGAACTTATATTGTTATTAAGAGCCTTGTTTTGGCTTTTCAGTGGGCAATCCCTCTATCATCTCTGAAAGTTAAAGGTGATCCCACAGAGCTCAAAGAGAAGAGGAAAAATGTTAAGGACCAATTTTAAAGTTTGTAATACCAAGATAACAATGATCAACACTTTGAGGCAAGATGAATAAATGAAAATTCTTGGTTAGACATTAGAGTATTCTTGCCAAGAATAAGTGTACACTGTATGGAGGAATATTGATTCCTACATATGAGTCCCTATATGCTCATTATACTTGTTTATGGGAGACATTGAAGTTTAATTTACATTCCTTGGCAATCAGGTTACTCTGTTATAGGCAGTGTCTTTTATTGTTCCATCTGGCACTTGCTAACACCATTCTTGAAGAACCTAGAAATGAAGGTCAGTCACTTTGTTTATCAGGAAGAGAACCAAGTAAAAACAAATTTTTGGAAAAACGACCAAGAGATTCTGGTTCATCACTATTTTCCATATCTAATGGTTCCTTCAGGATAAAGCATAACTCTTCCTTCCATGATAGCTTTCCAACAAAGGGAGATTAAAGAAAAAAAAAAAAAGAAAGAAAGAAAAAGAAAGTTTCCCACCCTATACCCTCTAAACTGTCATTCATACTGGTGAAAGAGCCAGTCTTGTTAGCAGCTAAATATTGCACTGCCTTTCATTCTGTGTACAGTCAGGGTCCAATGAAAGCGGCACACTCAGGATATAAGTGATGGATGATGACATTGCTGACTCAAAAGTGAAGACTCAGTATATGGAAGGACAAGAAACATGTCAGCACAAGTCACACATCCAGTTGCAAAGGTCTGATTTCCGGAAGTTAAAATTCATCACTTTCAGCTGCATGAAGTTGTGTGTCATCCGCATCGGTCATGCTGCTCTCCTGGGATTCATCTGTTCCCATAATCTGTTCTTCTTGGGTTATTGGCTCTTCATCATCTGGAAGGTAGTGTTTATCAATTGCCTCTCTAATTCGGTTATTGGCTCCTTTAGGATCTTTCCTATTAAGAAGTAAATGAGGGATTCTTTGGGAACAATTTGTTTCAATTCTTCAAGTTCTTGTAAAGCAGACTTATATTTTTCATTTGCAAATAAAACTGAGGCTCTGTGAAATTTGCATAGAGGGTTCTTAGGATCAATAACAATGGCTTTGTTTAGGGTCTCCAAAGCCTTCTCAGATTTTTTCAGTGCATGCTGAACTACTCCAATGTGGCAAAGGAAAACTGAACTTTGAGGGTTGATGTCAAGTGCTTTCTGGAAATGCATTTCTGCAAGGCTGAATTTTTCTTGCTTGTAATAAATCATTCCTAAACCATACCATGCATTATAATGTCTAGGACTGACTCTGATAGCATTTCGAAAACAAGCTAATTCTTTGTCTAATTCTTCAGTTTAACACAAACTCGTGCCCTAATAGAGTATAGGCATAAGCATAATTTAGATCAACCTGGATAGCTCTCTGGAAGAATTTAATTGCAATATCATGTTCCCGCTGCAAACTGAAACAGTTCCCTGCAGCACACCAGGCCTCTGGTGAATTTTTATCCATATCTGTTAAGTCTTTTGAAAGAACTGAAAGAGCAACATCCTTTTGAAGATGCCAAAGTGTTGTAGAGTAGATCTCCATGCCTTCGACTCTGTAATTTTCAATCCTGCTAACTTCTGAGAATATTCTTTCAGCTTGCATGTACTCTGAAAGTTCGAAATAGGCCCTTCCAATTTGGCACAGCACCCAACCAGTATTGTAGTGGTGAGAAGGTAGGTGGCTCAAGATATTAATAGCTTCTTTGCAGTTGTATGAACACAAAGCTAAATAACCTTTCCCCATTTCACGAAGAAGGCTCATCAAACCTGCTGCTGCTTTCTGTAGATTAAATGCCTGGATCTGAGGTGTAACTGTAGAGATTTTTCCTTCTGAAATGATTGAAGAATCTAATTTTGTGATTTCCAGGCTATCATTTATGTTAGGTTGAATTATTCCTCCTTTATTAGTTTTACTTTTTGTTTTTCTATTTGGGATTTTAGGTGGAAACTTCATTTTTAATCTGTTGCTATTCTCCTTGGTTGTAGAGCTGTGACTAGTAAAAAGTCGTGAACTTCTTCGAGGCAGTGCATTTGGGGGAGATGTGATAGTGGGGCTCAATACCTGAGGCGTACTTGTTTGTGGGCCAGAACTCTGAGTCTGTGCAACAAGAATTGGAGTGACCTCTCGACTGTTTCCACTCTGTGAGAAGACAGACTGTGTTCCAGTTTGGCCGATTCTGGCAACAGACAGCGACCGTTACCGGGGGATGGGGGAGGCCGAGCGAGAGCCGAGTACCTCCGAGCGGAACACGGAAAAACCCGAAGTGGAGAGGCGCGCAGGAGCCAGACGGAAAGACCCCTCTCGGCATCTATTTTTAAGTGTCACAGAAAGCTTGGCGTGTGTGTAATAATCTGTCTGTTGCCTGCTGGCAAGATTAGACTTACATTGTCCCCAGTAGGAAGCTACAGAACTCTGAATTTTTTTTTTTTACAACTTCTCTAATGTATACAAAGTATTTACATCAGAAATGCCAGGAAAAAAAGAAGGGGACAATAAAACATAACCATATTATTTCTGAGGAGTTGCTGACAAGTCTTACTTTCCCTTCCCTTTGACTGGAAACATTTTGCTCATTTTGGCTTATCTTGCCTTTCATACTGTTTTCTTTTCTTTTCTTCTTCTTATGGGTCTAATTATTTTTTCCAAGAAAATTGATGATTCAGGAAGAGGAGTGACAGTTTGAGGGCAGTTATTCTCCAGTTGATGGAGTGAACTGGAGGGCTTGCACATGGAGCTCTCCAGTGTTCCAAACAGAGGCCAGGCTTCCCGGAACAGCCTGGCCACACTCTGCTGTTCATCAGGGTCAGGGCTGCTGACTGACAACTAGTTAACAGACACTTTTTGGCTCCCTCAGGGTCACCAAGTTGATCTGGATGCTTGGAAACAGAAGCCAAGTGTGCATGCCTGCAGCAGAGTCTGCACTGACCCGTCCTAAAACCCAGATCTAAGGAGGAGAGAAGGTGTGCCCGGGGGTGCGAAAGACCAGCGGTCACACTTGGCCCAGAGCGCTGGGGCCAAACGAGCGAGTAAGCCCACTCATCTGGAGGTCCCTGAGCTGCGAGTTGCTGGCGTGGCAGCATCCTAAGAGCCACTGGGAGTGTGGGGTCAAGAGGCCGGGTTGCTGAGAATTTCAGTTAAGTGGAGCAAACAAATGAACTGCACTCAATGCTTCTGCCACTGAAAATTAGAAACCTCCAAGTCCTGGTGTCAGAGATTGTCCTTGACTTTCAATTCATAGCCTGCATTTTAATGGTATCATAAGATGGAGTGAGGACAAGAAGCCTCTTACTCCTGAAGCCCGTGTCTGGTTGGCCTAGCGTGCACCGTCCTGAAGTCACACCTGTCAGGTCCACATCAGTAGGATGGTTCCTGCCCCTCAGGAAGCCTCGACCATGGTCTAGGGCAACCTTCAGACCACACCCATTATTTGAAGCTGCCAACCATTCGAGCTTGTGAACTGTAAATTCCTCATTCACACCCAGAACTTTGTTGAAGTCTGTCTCTCACTGTACCTTAAACTTGTGCTCACTTCCCCGCATCATGATGTTTTGTTTCTTGGTCTCTCCAGGGCATTCCATGTCCTCTGACTCTAGCGTCACTGGCCTCCAACTCAGTGCAACGATGTTCTTGGGGACCCTGAGGACCCTTCACTATCTTTACTTCCATGTCCATCTTCCTCAAATTCTGCTTTCTTCTACGCTGGCCTTAACCCACTCCAGTATTCTTGCCTGGAGAATCCCAGGGACAGAGGAGCCTGGTGGGCTGCTGTCCATGGGATCTTACACAGTTGGACATGACTGATGCGACTTAGCAGCAGCAGCAGTAGTGTGCTGTCCTTGGTTGCTGAACATAGCTGGAGAAATTAATAGACTATAGCCAAAAAGTCTCGCATTCTTTATTTGGTAAAGAGTGATTGCTTCCTTCTTGGAAAAATCTACAGGCTTTGTATCTCAGCCCACCCCCTGACCATGACATCTCATTCTGCCTTAATTCTTTATCTGTCATGTTGTAACACACTTCTTTCAGACAAGGACATTGTCTTATATGTCTTTTTATAATAGCACCAGATCAATATCAACAAACAGGACAATCTACTAGATAGAATGTGTTTAGCAAGTATTTGTTACTTTGGGTTAAAAAGAATGAAGAGAACAGTTTGATAATTGCTAAAAAACTACCTCCACAGGTGAAAGTTGTGTGTGATCTGCAATATCTGGTTAGATATTGTCTTATGTTACTAACTTATTGCCTCTTTTGTGTAAATCTCATCCAAATGAAAGACCTGTAAATTAAATAATACCATGCTATATTTATCTTGAAATTCCAACATCATTTATCCAATGGCTAAATAATCCACCAAGTCACAGGATGAAAAAGGACCCTAGAAGTGGTTATAGAGACTAACTACACTGGAATCACTCTGGAGGCTTATGAAACAGGATTTCTTGTACTATAGCCAGGACTCCCTGAAACAGGATTTTGGGGGCCCAAATTCATGTGACTTTAAGAATTCCCGATGTAGCTCTGTTCTAAAGATAGGTTTTGGAGCCACAAATTTAGCCCACATTTCACATTTTTCAAATGAATAAGCTGAGTAAGGGCCAGGGAACTTTAGCGACTGTCTGAAGTGTCATAGCAGAAAGGATCCGACGTCCCTCTGTCCCTCCCGCTGCTGGCGGACTGCCTTTGCTCAGGCCCGGCTGTTCTGCCGGCAGACCTCACACCCAGCCCCACCTTAGAGCATCAGGTCGTCTCCACAGTGCTGCCCGCCTGAGGCCTGTGCCTCGGCTCAGGCTTGAGCTACCTTTCCACCTTGAGGCTTCTTGATGCCTACCCTGCGTTCATGCACACACAAGCCATAAGTGCAGGGAGGCCATCTCCCTGCCAGTGCGAGCAGGGAAGGAGCTGATGCCCCTTGCCTTCACCTCTTTAGCAGCTGATTTTGGGAGGCATTTTATATGCACTGCAGAAGGTCCTAGTGACCAACAGATACTGCCCTCTTGTGTAAACTATCCCTGCTTTCCCGCTTCACTTTCCTTGGTCTTTCATTTCTGCTTCCAAAGTCACTTCTGAGGTAGTGTGCACGTAAAATCTTGCCTTTGGTTCTGTTTTGAGAAAGTGTAGACTAAAATGGGCCCTTAAAATGGGAGATTTTGGAGCCAGGTCTAAGCAATGAGGACCCCATTGTGAGCAGAGTGAAGTGAAAGTGGCTCAGTCGTGTCTGATTCTTTGTGACCCCACAGACTATACAATACGTGGGATTCTCCAGGCCAGAATACTGGAGTGGGTGATCTTCCCCTTCTCCAGGGGTCGAACCCAGGTCTCCTGCATTGTAGGAGGATTCTTTACCAGCTGAACCACCAGGGAAGCCCAAGAATACTGGAATGGGTAGCTGTTCCCTCCTTCAGGGGATCTTCCCAACAACCCAGGAATCAAACCGGGGTCTCCCGCACTGCAGGCGGATCCTTTCCCAGCTGAGCTGCTAGCAAAGGCCATGCACTCGCATCCCTACTAGGACTCTTCCTTGGTAACTGGAATGGAAGCAGTTGAAACACGGGCCTTATTGGACTCTGGGAGTTAGACAATTTAGGAACAACATAAGGGAAATGATCATGGACAGGGCTGGCTTATGTTAACTGCTTGGAAAACTTGAAAAACAGATTAATTGGCCTAGGAATTAGCAACCCAGCCAAGAACCCCTGTGGCTGGTTCTTGAGTGTTGTGAGGGTGGCTCCCAGAGCACTGACGTCCTCCAGGAAAGAGCAGAGATGGCAGATCGACCTTGCTCAAGTGTTGAGGAAAGACCATGGTTTTGGAGAGGCAGGAATATTAAAGCAGATTTATCACATGATACCAATATACTCCTTTGAGACACCATGGAGAGCATCCCCTTCCATAAGGCTAACAAGTCTATTGATAAAGAGATACTGATATCATATGATAATGTGTGAATACTGAAGTCTGGGGTTGACAGTATGAGATGAAGCTTAATTGGGTTTTCTTGGGTTTTCTTGTATAATTTAGGATTACAGGGCTCCAGAATGGCAGGGACCAGGTGGTGGCACCAAACTTTAGAACAAAGTGTCCAAAATGGCTGAAAAGAGCAAGCAAAGCCCAGAGGTCTGTGTCAGGCGATGGGAGTCACTTGTGTTCCCAGTGCAGAAACAGGTAAACGGCTCACTTAGCGTGTTGTTTGGGTTAGGGAACAGAGAATCAAGTTGTTGTGACTGCTATCTTGTGTTTTCAAAAGGTCACTTTGTACTGTAGAAAACAGGATTAAGTAGCAAACATAGGTACAGGAAGACAGCCTGAAGACTTTGAATGATCAAGGTGAGCTAGGGGGTCATGGCCCAGGCCAGGAGGGGAAGGGAGGTGGGTGGAAGGACCAGGGGTGTGTCTGCCAGTGGAGATGATGGAATTTGCTGCAAGACTGGATGCCAGGTAGGATGGGAATAAGAACCAAGGATAATTTCCATATTTCTAGGTCAAGGAGCTTAGAGGATGCTGGCACCAAGAATCCCCAGGGGGCCAGGGAGAAGAGCAGGCTGTGGAGGGAGTGAGCATTCTCCCTAGGACGGGCCACACTGGGAATCTGATACACATCTGGTGGTCAAGCCTAGGCTGTCAGATGAGGTGGAGGCACAGATTTAATAAACACTTCCGTGTCGCTTGATATCACACCCTTGGATGAGAATTCCTGGAGAGACCCTGCAGGCAGGGAAGACAGAGGTGGGTGCACATGACACACTCTGGTGACCTCTAACCGCTATGGAGGAGAAGAATCTAGGCAAGGATACTGCGAAGGCACAGCCAGTGAGGCCAGAGGAAGTCCCCAAAGATCATGTTTCTGAGGCGAGCAGAAGTAATGCCATGGCAGGCAGCTTAGATTAGGAGCAGGCCTTCCTACTTCTGGGTGGTAAGATTATCAGGCCACCTAGATACAACCAATCAGCTTAACACTGACCGCTGTTTGCCAATTAGGAACAGGGCAGAAACCCCCAGGAAAGTCCCATGCGCACGAAAGATTTAAGTGTGTTTGACCAATGAAATTGCTTTGCAAACTTATAACCAATCCGCTTAAACCAACTACCAATGGCGTGTGCTCACCCTATAAATTTGTGTAACAGCTTGGGCTCGGGGCTTTCTGACCCCGCACCACTGCATTGGATGCGGCAGGAGCCCTG